GAGTTACATGACAACTCTATTTTCAGCTCTTTGAGAAATCCCCAAACTGCTTTCCACAGGGGCTAAATTTTATTGCATTCCCATCAACATTTATAATAAAACCTATTTCTTCACAATGTCAACATGTTATTTTGTGACTTATAACAACAGCCATTCTATCTGGGGCAAAATTGTATTACTTTGTAATTTTGATTTACATCTCTCTAATGATTGGGTGTTAAGCATTTCTTGAATGGTTATTGGCAACTCCTATATCTTTGAGAAGTATCTATATTATTTTTCTGATTTTTAAAATTGATTTTTGCATAGATTCTATATATTAATCATTTGTATGCAGTTTGGAAATACTTTGTTTCATAAAGTGTCTGTTTCCTTTGTGGATAGTTTCTTTGGCTGTGCAGAAGCTCTTTAGTTTAATTAGATGCAGTTTGATTTTTATTCTGTTCCACTCACTTTTAACCTGTTATTCAGAAATTCATTCCAGAGGCCAGTGTTTAGAAGAGTACTTTCTAAGTGTTCTCATAGAATTTTGTAGCTTGAAGACTCACAGATAAGTCATTAATCTATCTTGCCTTATGTTTTCTATATGGAAAGATAAGGAGTCCACTCTTTTCTGCATAAGACTAACCAGTTTTCTTAGAACTATTTATTATAAATACTGTTATTATTATTTTTTGAGATGAAGTCTAGCTCTGTCACCCAGGCTGGAGTGCAGTGGCATGATCTTGGCTCACTGCTACCTCTGCCTTTTAGGTTCAAGCAATTCTGCCTCAGCCTTCCAAGTAGCTGGGATTACAGGCACACACCACCACGCTGGGCTAATTTTTGTATTTTTAACTAGAGACAGGGTTTCACCATATTGGCCAGGCTGTTCTTGAATTCATGACATCATGATCTGCCCATCTCGGCCTCCCAAAGTGCTGGGATTACAGGTGTGGGTCACCATTCCTGGCCTGTGAGTAGCATTTTTATAAACTAACAACTATCTCAAAATAAATTTAAAAAACAATTTCATCTACCATAACTGTAGTAACTATACTTTGAAATAAATTTAAACTGCCATTATTATTCAATATTTCTATTACACAAAATCATCTACAGATGTAATGCAACCTCAATAAAAATATCAGTGACATAATCAATAAAAATTCTTAAAAACAGGTGCGGTGTGGTAGCTCCCATCTGTAATCCCAGCACATTGGGAGGCAGAGGTGGGCAGATCACAGGGTCAAGAGATCGAGACCATTCTGGCCAACATGGCGAAACCCCATCTCTACTAAAAGTACAACAATTAGCTGGACCTAGAGCTAAGCATTTGACCATATGTATATACTTCGAAATGTTGTTTTATTAAAAAAAAAAATACACATTTATTTTTCAAGTTAGAGACTATACTTTTAAAACATTATAAAAAGATGACAATATTTAAAATAATGTCTATGTCTTTATCATAAACTTGGCTGAAGAGTATAAAAATAATCTTTATGTTGTTTCTATCACTTATCAGTCATAATTATAGGAACTTGGATGCTTGACAGAAAGTTTCAAACCCAACACAGTGCATGGGAGGAGCCAATGTACTTTAGTCCTTTATTTTAAGCTTGGGACACCTGGAGTTCCTGGTACTAATGGCAATGGAAAGAAAGACACTAAGAAGGCAAGTGTTACTTATGGTCCCATGACTGGCCACTCTGTGAACACAGTAAACTAATTTACATGAACAATAACAAAAAACATTTTAATCTAAAAGCTGCCATGATTTTCAAAAGTTTTCCAGAGAAAATAATTGAGGATACACTTAGATGTCTAAAAATAAAACTATAGACTTTCACGCACTAAAATAAAATTTTTAAAACAAGAGAAATTCCTCAACATTGGAATATCAATATGAAAAAAAGTATTATTCCAAATATATAGGAGTCATTTTATTGTTCTGCAACCTTTACCATTCACATGTAAAAACAGAAGATTCTGCCTGGAAATGCGAGTTGTGCTATATCATAAGAAATTAAATTTAGGCTGGGTGTGGTGGCTTACACATGCAATCCCGGAACTTTGGAAAGTCGAGGCAGGCAGATAACCTGAGGTCAGGAGTTCAAGACCAGCCTGGCCAACATGGTGAAATTTTGTCTCTAGAAAAAAAAAAAATGTAAAATGTAGCCAGGCATGATGGAGGGTGCCTGTAATTCCAGCTACTCAGGAGGCTGATGTGGAAGAATCACTCAAACCTGGGAGATGTAGGCTGCACAGATCCCAGATTGTGCCACTGCACTCCAGCCTGGGTGACAGAGCAAAACTTCGTCTAAAAAAAAAACCACACAAAATAAATAATAATTTATTATCGTTCCTTTACCATAAACTCTCTTAAAACTTTAATTTCTAATTCAAGTCATGCAGGCTGTAAGAAACGCAGGGTCGTGGCTCCTGCGGACTTGGCCCCAGACAACTGGGATCGTGGCCAGGACTCCGGCCCGGACCGTCCACACAGGTGCCCAGCAGCTGCAAGACGCTGCGCCCAAGCAGGAAGTTGAAGAGAAGACGGCAGCTCCCAGACACACCAGCTTCAGCATTTACCCTCCCATTCCAGGAAAGGAGAGCTCTCTGAGGTGGGCAGGAAAGAAGATTGAGGAGATCCCAGTCGCACATATGAAAGCATCCTACAATAAGACACGGATCCAGGTAGTCTCTGCCAGTAACCAGCCCCTTGCCCGTGCTTCCTGTGGCACAGAGGGATTTTGGGATGCCAAGAAGGGCACAGGCATCGCAGCACAGACAGCAGGCATAGCCGCAGCGGCGAAAGCTATACAAAAGGGTGTGACCCACATCCGAGTTGTGAAAGGCCTGGGGCCAGGACGCTTGTCTGCCATCAACGGTCTGACCATAGGGGGCCTGGAAGTGATTTCAATCAGAGACAACACCCCATTACCGCACAAGGGCTGCCGTCCCAGGAAGGCTCAGAGGCTGTGATGGGAAGGAAGCCTGCACTTGGACCTGGCCTCAAGCCTCAGCTCGTCGGACCTTGTAGAAAGCTCCCTGTCAGAGCCCTTTCCAGAATATGCTTACTAGAAATGCTTCAGACGGTAAGGGTAAGCTTTACCTCCTTACACAGTGGCCTTTGCTTGTACCTTCAGCTGGAGATAGGTGTGCCCCAGAAGTGAGCTTTGCTTCTCTTGACAAGAGGGGAGCAATGCGGGGCGGGGGGGGTGCTGGGTGCGGCAGCCGTGGCCTAGACCCAACTTCTGCTCTGAGAAAATAAAAAGTCTGTACCATTAAAAAACAAACAAAAACAAAACAAACAAAAAAAACAAAGCTTTCCTTTCTATGATATATTTTCTAGCAAATTTTGTATTTGTCTCATTTTGTACTTGTCTCACTTTACCAAAAGCCTTTCTTTTTACAAGCAATGAAGCACCATGCTAACTGATTTACCCCTCTCACCTGTGGACAGTGTATGCTTTTATCTTAAATGATCTGAAAGTTATATTTATAAGCACACTCTCCAGTTGAAACCAGTTTTTCAGGGCATTAGAAAACACCAAAGTTCTGATCAAAACCCTCAAAACACCATGTGAAATGACACAGCATGAAGAAAACAGTGGAAAAACTGTAGCCATAACCAGAAAAAGAAGGGCTATGATGTATACACGGCTGGAATACACATAAAATGACAAACAAAACTTAA